TGCACTTAAATACAGGTTTAAGCTACTGATCATGTCATTAGACATCAAATATTTTAGGGCTGAGGATGTAGGTCAGCACTCACAGCAGCTACCCAGCAAGCGCAAGGGCATGAGTTCCATTCTTGGTACCAAATAAATAAATAAATAAATATTTCAAATTACATAATTTAATTAACTGTTAGAAATGTTTTGAATGTTAAGTTTTTTCTCCATGAGTTTTGTTTTATTCTCTTGTAAGCCATGATTTTTTAAAAAGCCATTTGGTTTAAATTTAAAAGGAAAAGGGCTGGGGATTTAGCTCAGCGGCAAAAGCGCCTGCCTGGCAAGCGCAAGGTCGTGAGTTCGGTTCCCGGTACCGGAGAAAAACCAAAACCAAAAAAAAAAAAAAAAATTTAAAAGGAAAAGGGTAAGCAAAAGTAAAATTTTGAAGAATTCTTTTCTTTTTGACCTTGAAATGAAAAATGAAGGAGAGTTGGAATCACTAGATATAAGAAAGTGCCCAAAATGGTCAGTCTTTCACATAGTGAAGCTATCTGTGTGCTTTAAAATGAAGGTATTAGGTATCACAGACTGTATTCTGCTTTGCTGCCTTAAGTTTAGCTGAAGGTCATTCCTGGTTTTAAAGATTAAAATGTGGGTAAACCAATCACTGGTGTCAGGCAGAGTTGCTATGAACATTTTCAAGTCTAGAAGAGAAGAATTCCATGCTAATCTCCTTATCAGCATCTTCACTTTCCCACAAGGGCAAATTACATGTACTACTTTCTGGACCACTAACATAAAATGTTAGGCTGAAAATGAATAGATCTCATATTATGACCACTTGGATTCAACATGTAGATTTATGCATAGTGACATGTAAATTACAGTGCTCAGTATATCTTTGAAAATCTAATTATAATATGTGCTGTTTTAGCCTAGCAATAAAAAGAAACAGAATAAAAAGAAAAGAAATGATCTGTAGATTTCCATGGCATATATACTTAGACTGTAATTATTTCCGGGTAGTTTTAATTTTTGATCATTTTTTTGCTTATAGTTAACCAGCTGTTATCCAGGTTGTAAATGTGAACTGTTTTGGTGTAAATGCTTCTCTCCGAATGCTTTCCTAAGGATTTTGTGAATACGATACCTTAAAATTAAGTTTACATTTTGCTTTCTCAGGAAACCTTCCTTGTCCAGTGACAATGAAATAGACCTTTCCCCATTATTCTTTACCCCAGTGACATCTTTCTTCAGAGCACTCCATGCTTTGCACTCCCCTGAAGTCCTACTGATAACTCACTCACATCATCTGGCCCTGGGCTACTTCCTTGAATCCATCTCACTCCCACTCCTCTTTTTTCTGCTCAGTTTTCCACTCTAGTTTCCTTGATCTTTCCATGAATTCCTCCTCCTGAGTACCTTTCCTCAAACATCTGTAAGATTAACTCCCTGACTTCTTTTCAGAGCTCTTCTCCAAGGTCACCAATCCTTCCTGACAGGAGTCCTAAAACAGCATCTCTAAAACGGTAGCCCCTACCATTCTTCTTTTCCTAGTTTTATCTCTTGCCCCTAGTATGTACAGTCTTCTATGTTCGTGTTCATTGCGTGACTTTTACTAGTATGTAAACCCCATAAGATTTTAGCAGTTTTGCTCATTATCACTGTCACGGTGCTTACAAAGTTTGGGATATTTATTTGACAAACTAATGAATGAGTCTCTGATTATCTGTCTTCCCCACTAGTTTCTTAGGAAGCATAGAAATAGAAACATTGTTCCTAGTATTCCCATAACATCTTGTATAGCATAGATGATAAATGAATATTGAGGGATGGATGAATGAATTGTTGCTTGGGTATGGAGGATTTTTTTTTTAATCTCCTCCTTCCTGCTAGGACCTAAGTACCATAAAAATTGAAATTATATTTGCTCGACGCCTCGACATATACTTATTTCATAGGAGAGGCTGGCGTTTACTAGGCACTCAGTAAGTTAAGTGAAGTATGTCAAGAACTTGGACCGGAATGAACAGACCCAGAGGCCTCCACGGGGTTGATCTGATGTCTTCATGGCAGATGGACAACAGTTTGGGATATGCATAGAGCCATGAAAACCTTCAGCCATCTTGCTTATTTTTGGGACCCAACATGGATCTTTTTTTTTGGTCTTTTTTGTTTGTTTGTTTTTCTTCCGGTACCAGGAATTGAACTCACGACCTTGCGCTTGCCAGGCAGACACTTTGCCGCTGAGCTAAATTCCCAGCCCCCCCAACATGGATCTTGAGAAGTCCTGCTTCCCAGAGAAAACCCAAGAAGCAAGGTACGGACTTCTGAACATCTTTCAGTTTATAACTTCTTGAAGGAGGTGTAAATACTAATTTCAACCCCTAGCTTTGATTTGTTTGCTTAAAACCTTGCCCTGAAAATTCCAGATGAATAAATTCACTGTATCAAAGGGCACTGAATATGAAGAATTCAATTTTAACACAAAGCACCCACTAAGAAAACATCTCTTCTCAATTGTCTTTTATGCTTTCTAGATGTAAAATAAAGATACTAGGAAAGTAAAGCAGCTGTTCTAAAATTATGGATTGTGACTTGCCATGATGCTCTGGGAAGGCTTTGTTAAGGATCTTCTCTACCTCCTCCCCTCTCCCAACTGCTACATGCCTTGATTACAAACCACAGCTATAGGGAGCTACTGTTGCTAAGGAACTTCCTTTAGGTGAACAGGGGAAAGAAAAGTTGAGAACCACTGGCTATCTCCACCATTTGATCTTTTCCAATGCTGACATCTTGCAGCACTACGAACCACACTTCAGTTCACTACTAAATCCCCATGTTTAGTAGTACTTGGGTTCTTGCTGTCTTTAGTTTACTTACACCAACTTACAGTAGTTTCTCATCTCAAGTCGGTGATCATGGCAGGCACCGAGAATTCAAAGATGAATTCAGAAATGGTCTTCTTCCTCAAAGAGCTCCACACATTGGGAAAACAAATGCGACAAAGGGTGATAAAGAGCTCTGGTGAGACTGAAGCAGTGGGCAAACTTAGAACGCATCAAAGGGTACCACCAAAGCACCCTGGGAGAGGAGTGATCCGTAAGACCTGCCAGTAGGTGACTACACACTGAGTCCTAACTTTGATTAATTCAATTATAGACTGCTAAAGCTACACCAAGTCTGAATAATCCAAGCTCCTGATAAGGCACACAGGGAGTGTAAGGTCCAAAGAAGTTAACTGACATCTTATGTATGTACCAGAGTGGCAACCTGGACCCACAGAAGTATCCTCCAGCTACCTTAGAATTCCTCATTTGTTCAATGTAATGAAATTAATCAACAGATCATATGAAGGCATCAATCACAATAAGGTAGAAAAAGACATACATACACATTGACTTCATGTGCAGCAGCAATGCCAATAACCCCTCACCCCTAGGTTAGAGTATGTGAGGTGCCGGTGAATTCATTCAAATCCACCCACAGTCGAAACCTAACGCAGCTTGTTTCCCAAGTCGCTGCACACACCTGCACGCCCAGTTCAGATGTGAACGAGAACAAACTTTAAGAATAAATCTTGGCCTGTTGGCATAGCATCTCCTCTTAGAAACTAAGGCACGCCAGAAAATATACTTAGTAGTATTACTATTAGTACCAGTAGCAGGGTATACTATTGTTCAGGTATGCAGTCTTGGAATTGTAGCTTGCCTAACACAGTTTTCACTTGGGATGTTTAATGACTGTGACTTAGTAACAGGAAAATATAAGGGCACATCACATTAAAACAGGAATACTTGGGACATCCACAGTTTCTAATAGCTTGCCATCTGCCTGGTTCTTCCCGGCAATGGATTTGTCCTGCTTAATGCAGATGATGATGCAGGGGGGGGGGGGTGAACACGGATTTCTGAGCTCTGACTACTGTTATTAACCCTCTAGGCTGTAAGTCAAGAGTTCCCAACAGAAAATCAATTGTTTTTAATTTTTCAACTCTTACTCCAACTAGGGTTGCTACAGGCAGGCACATCTGGAGCCAGCAGATTGAGTGAAAGTCATGCAAGCTCTCTCCCTATTAGAAACCTTCCATTCCTTTCCACTGTACTCAAGGCAGGATGCTCTTTTGCCTTGCCCAGCGCAATCCGCTCCAAAGAAACATTTTAGAGGGACAAGGTCTCAATCATTTTCCTCTCTGAGCACATCATTTCCAAATGGCCGCCCGGGTCCCAAGTCCGGCCGTGCGGACGGGCGCTAGCGGGTGCCCTTTCTCTGCAGAGCCGCGGGACCCGAGCGCCTCTGAACTGGGCGTCGGGAACTGCAACGCTCAGGGAAAGGTGCACCCCGCACGGGTCGCACCTGGGAGGCCCTGAGCGCCGCGGAGCACCCACGCCCGGGACCAGGGAGACCCCAGGGAGGCAGCCAACTGTGTCCCCATTCAAGTCGCAGGGCAGGACGCAGAGGGCCGGGGCCGAAGTTACACTGCAGCCCAACCTGCGCTTTGTGCCCGCGCCCTCCGCAGCCGGGCGGCACCTAGCCGCAGCGGGGGACACGGAGAGTTGCCACCACCGCCGCTACCGGCGGAGGAGCAGGGCGACCCCGCGGAGAGCAGCACAGCCGGGCAGAGAAAGGCTCGGCGTCCGCGCTGCGGCGCTTCCGACCCGGGCGCGGCTGCCCAGCGCCGCCCCCCG